TGCCGCGCTTGTTCCCGATCCGTCCCCGGTTCCCCTCCCTCCCCCAGAGGGGGAGGCCCGACCCGTTCCACCGATTCGTAAACGTGAATTTATAATGACGTTGTACTTTCCGGAGAATACCTATTACGAACTGCCTTTTAAGGAAGTTGTATATTACGCGTTTCACGGGCGTTCGTGCGTTAGCCGACAGCCGAGGGAGGGGAGGGAGGAGGGGGAGGAGGGTGTTTTCTTTGCTTTTTTTTTTTTCTCGAGAATTAAAATACCGGTCATCCGGTATTTCGCCATTTTCTCGTGTTTTTCTCGGATTCTTGGATCGAACAGAGTAGATAGGTTTTGGATTAGTCGAGAAATTTTTTTCCGACTCTTTTCGGCTCTCTTTTTCCTCCATGAATCCGTTTTGGAAATTTTGTTTGTTTATCCATGTCTATGGATATGTACGATGAAGAAAAGAGTGATTAATTTATGTTTGTAAATGTTAATGAATAAAATGGAATTTTTTTCTTTGAATATCCTTAAAGTTGCGATTTTATTCGATTTCTTTTATTTATTGCATTATGAAATGGAAAACTCGTACAATTTTTCTTCCAAAATAAAACAAATTTTACTATACAGACTCTTAAAAATTTAATTTACAAACGTCAAACTATCTTAACTCGAATTAAAATTTATTATTGTAGAAGAGAAAAGAAGAAAATTTCGAAAGAAATTTCTGGGATGAAGGTGAGGGTGAAAATTCGTAGAGAGGAGTTGGAAGAAACGCAACTTTCTCGGGACGAGTGTTTGTTCCAAATATTTGCAGAGTATTAAATCCGGCCGTCGAGGCGTCGGATCCATGTCTAGAGTATCGTTTACGCATAGTGCACGGTAGCTCTGAGAAACAAACACACTGTTAAGCGAGGTTTATTTTCGTTGTTGCTGCTTCTATGACGATGATATTCTTTAGACGATCAATGAAAAAAATTTTTTGGAAGCATCTCTCGTCTTTTCTATTCTAATTCATTATTTGAATTATATTTGAATTTTTGGACGAGATAAGATTGATCCCAAAAATTAATCGATTTCGTTCGAGCGAGTTATATTGAAAAGTTTTATTGTCACCGTATATATATTGCAAAATTATTAACGATATTGCAAAATAATTTAACGAGACGAGTTTAATTTATCTCTAATAAACGAGTCATCTTCGCAATACGAATTTTCATTCGCGGGACGATTCGAGGAACGAATTACACTCTTGAGAATTGCTGTTACCATAAAATAACTGCATAAAAAAGGGAGGGAGGGGAGATCGAAAGGCGTCGAGGAGGACAGACAGTCGCCATTAATATCGCCAAAGTAACGTCGTGAAATGACACATATAAGACACACACACGCGCGCAGTAAAGTACAAAACACCGTTCCTGTCTTTTTATCAACACGTTCTAATCCCGTCGTCGAACGGGCGGCGACGTTTTCAAACACACGATGCGCGTTTTACAAACGAGTTTCCTCTTCTTCTTGTTCTGCAAACATTTAGAAAGGAATCTTTCTCGGCCAAACGGCCAAATACCAGATGAAGAAACAAGCACGGGTGATTCCACTCAAAGAAAGCATAACATGTGGAAGATTTATATGTCTTTCGATTGCACAACATTCGTTTGACCTTTGGCCGACCTTCTGCTTTAACTTCGAATCGTATTTCTCGTAACGAGACAGCCCACGAAATCATCGGATTGAGATACGAGTTTCTCTCTCTCTCTCTCTCTCTCTCTCTCTCTCTCTCTCTCTCT